AAATGTTCAGCTACTGAAGACAATTTATGATATCATGAAAGATAGAAGACGACTCTTATTTCACTCTTGCCTGGTTCCCACTGTATAGTTTACAATAATAACATGGATTAAGGACTAAAATGAAAAGTTTCCACAGTGGATATTCGGATCAAGAAGTCAGGATTAAAGTTTATCAATTCTAAAGTTTTCAGCTCAGATGAAGTAAACCTTTTATATTTCAAACTTTGCCTATTTGATTTTGTGTCGTTCATAGTTTGAAATATGAAAGGTCTACAACGTCAAGTTGCGAAGATATAAGATTAAACAAATGCATTTTGTAGGAAAGTTATCAGTCCAAGGTTTTTTTCAAAACATATTTATAATGGACGCCTTCATTTTACATGTTTGCCTTGACACTCCTGACTTTTGAGGGCGTTTTTGGATTAGAAAATTTTATTAGGGAAATATTTTAAGAATAAAACACGTTTTTATGGAAAACTTAAATTTGTAAATGTATAGTTTATAAATGAACCTCGTTGATTGAAGCAAATTTTACTGAATCTAACAAATAAGTTTTATTAATAGAATCATCTTATCCTGCAGTTTTACTCGAAATTTCATGACACCTAAGATGAATAAATACGGATTTGTTCCGTGACAAATTATTAACTTTATGAGTTTCTATAAATGTCGTGGATTTTCACAAATATTTTTGCATATTTCAAATTAGATCAAATATTTACTCGCTCGCTATGAAAATATTTGATTATATATTTGGATTTAATTTTAGAAGACGCTGCACTGATTTAGAGGGAATTCATTCAAAACAATTTATCTTCAGCTCTGGAAAATGGGGATCTGAAATTGTATTACTAGCAAAATACAGGGTGTCCCAAAAAACATGGGAATTCAGTGTCGAATTGGATTTCGTCTATGTTATGAATCAGCATTGTAATTCCTAATTTCAAAAGCCATAATATTATTATGTCTGCTAGAGTTTATTTTATGAAAACGGTAAATGACTGTAAAGATATGTCTATAATGTCTCCGCACGATGAACAGTGAAGACGGACAAGTTTACTCTGTTTGTATACTGCAATTTTCTTGTTTTACCGAGTACAACTGTAATCAGTCAAAACATAAACAAACAAAATGTGAACACAGCAGATGCAACTCTTACAGATTACAGCTTTCTCAGTAGGTATCACTATACTAAATCTGAGAATTATTTAAAAGACGATATCGAACTCGTCACTGAATTCCCATGTTTATTGGGACACCCTGTACATATATATACAGTAATAACCAGAAAATTTTGAAAAATGAAAACGACTTTTTAACTTTTAACTTTTAACACTCCAATGAGCATAAGAAACAGCAATTGTGTAGTGTAAACAGATCCATTTCACTTAATTGGTGATTTGATAAGTGTCTAGTAAAACTATTTGCTTTGTAATAACATTTAATACATTAAAGATTGTTATAATGTCGTCTTCTTATTTCACAGTGTTCTGGTTATCACTGTATAAAATTAGAAGAAAAAAATTATGATTCCATTTTCAATATTTTCAGATGATATAAAGTAAAAATAAAAATATTAGAAATGGCGGCAAAGTTTGATTTTAATGGAAGACGAGTTCTTGTGACGGGAGCCGGAGCAGGTACTTGAGCCATAATGCAGTCAGACCCATAAAACTGTGGATTAGCAAGACGATATTTAACGATTGTATGTGTTTTTGATGTTGTAACAAAGCAAATAGTTTTATCAGTGAATTAAAAATCAACTTAAGTAAAATGGGTCTACGTGTACACTGCAAAGTTCATAGGACTATTTAGAAGCCTAACTTGAGTTTAAAAGTCGTATTTGTTTTCCACAGTTGTATGGGTTTCACTGAATAGTTTAATTTTTACCTTTTCTATTTTTACTGTTTTTTTATCTAAGGTAAATTATTTATTTTTTTTTTCTGCAGAAAAAAAATTAAGGAAAATTATTTTGTTTTTTGGATACATAATATGCGTTTTAGCTATAGGACGAGATATCTGTGAAGTATATAATATTTTCTAGGTATAGGACGAGATATCTGTAAAGTATATAATATATTCTAGGTATAGGACGAGATATCTGTAAAGTATATAATATATTCTAGGTATAGGACGAGATATCTGTAAAGTATATAATATATTCTAGGTATAGGACGAGATATCTGTAAAGTATGTATTATATTCCAGGTATAGGACGAGATATCTGTTAAGTATATAATACATTCCAGGTATAGGACGAGATATCTGTAAAGTATATAATATATTCTAGGTATAGGACGAGATATCTGTGAAGTATATAATATATTCTAGGTAAAGGACGAGATATCTGTAAAGTATATAATATATTCCAGGTATAGGACGAGATATCTGTAAAGTACATAATATATTCTAGGTATAGGACGAGATATCTGTAAAGTACATAATATATTCCAGGTATAGGACGAGATATTTGTAAAGTATATAATATATTCTAGGTATAGGACGAGATATCTGTAAAATATATAATATATTCCAGGTATAGGACGAGATATCTGTAAAGTATATAATACATGCCAGATATAGGACGCAGATATAGGACGAGATATCTGTAAAGTATATAATATATTCTAGGTATAGGACGAGATATCTGTAAAGTATATAATATATTCTAGGTATAGGACGAGATATCTGTGAAGTATATAATATATTCTAGGTATAGGGCGAGGTATCTGTAAAGCACTCTATGAAAGTGGAGCTGAAGTATATGGAGTCTCTAGAACTCAAGAAAACTTGAATTCGTTAAAGGTACTTTTTAATGGAGGCTCTCGGGTCATTTCTTTTTATTTTCTGAATTAGTTCTATTCTACTTCTTTATTCTTATTACCTATAGTAGGCAGGAGAGGAATTAAATAAATTTCATTCTTAATGGTTAGTCGCTCTTATTTCCCCCAGTGGTAAATATTTCACTTTAAAAAATTAAACTTTCTTAAGAATGTTTTCATTTGGTTTATATTTTATGTTTATTTTTTATTTTTTTTTGGTTGGGGGTGGGGGTTACTTCGGTTTACGACAGTTAAGTGACCCCACCTCTCATCCTAAATTCTGGGAAACATCCCCCTGCTCCACTCTTTACACCTTCAATCTGGAAAATTACCTTTTCTCTTGTACTAACAACAATTTTCAGAGAGAAGGTCAGCAATTGAAAAAATCACTTCAATTCACGAAAACTTAATTTTTTTGAAAATTTATTTTGATCCCCTTCCCTTATGTACAGTTTATACAATGGGCTTCTGTGAATTTGGAATACAATGACGAACAGAAAAGTAAGGGCAATGAATGAAATTGAGTTTTTATATTCTTTATATTCAGAATGTTGAAGAAATTATTATTCAGAATTCTTTCGATTGTTATATATTACAAAAGAACATTTGTTTTTTTTTGACAGTTTACAGTTAGCTGTTTATATCTAGATATGTTCTGATCTGGTAACAGTAGCTGTTTATATCTAGATATGTTCTGATCTAGTAACAGTAGCTGTTTATATCTAGGTAGAATGTCCTGACCTGGTAACAGTATGTGTTGACCTCTCAGACTGGGATGCCACAAGGGCTGCCCTCTCCTTACTTCCAACTATGCATGGGGTGGTGAATAATGCAGGAACAGATGATAATCTTAGTTCTGAAGCAAAAAACAATCTCATTAGAGTTCTTAAATGTACTTGTCTACAAAAAAAATTGAGTTTGTAGTATAGTGAAACGAAAGATTAAGGCACTTGAATAAGCCGATCCTATCTTTTAAATGAATGCACAACTTTCATAACTGACTGGATCTTTGTAAACCACTGTTTTAAAGGGACAGTAAAGTAAAAATGAAAGGGGGTATAGACTGAAAGCTTATCAATTTAGCTCTTGATCGCGACCCCTGAAAGTTATATCTGATGTTCCTATCTCGAGAAACTGATTTACAACTGTGTCAAATTTATACGAAAATTAATATATATACAATTTTGTATAAAAGTAGTGGGTTTAAATAGATCAAATTCAGCAAATAAGCAACCAATCTAAAAACGATAATATCCCCGAGAAAGCTAATTATTACTTAGGTTTACTCCAATTCTAATTTTATATTTGTTATTTCTATTTTTAATAGATTTAATTCATTATATTATTTACACGTCCGAATTGCTTGACCAGAAAATCCACCAATGACAGTGCAGTAAAGTGGTCACGTGATACAGGCAGAGACACGTGATCAGTATACTGCTCTGCCATTGGTGATAGTTCTGGTCACATGATTTAAGTTTAAGATTTTCTAAATTTTACATATATGAACTTTCGTATGATTTTAACACAGTTTTGTATCAATTTCTCGAGATAGTAACATCAGATAAAACTTTCATGGGTCGCGATCAAGAGCTAAAGTGATTAGTTTTCAGCCTATACCCCCTTTCATTTTTCCTTTACTGTCCCTTTAAGCTTCTCTAAATTTATAAACGAAATGTGTAGACTAAACCTTCATTTTATTTGCTTGTGTGTGTGTGTGTGTAGCACCGAAATAAAAATAAAATTTTCTCTGTTCTCCTGGAGAAAATAAAATTTAAAAGATGAATAAGAGATGAGACTAACAAATGCTTTCAAGTTATTAGACTAAAACTATACAGAAGGATAAAAAGTAAAAAATTTGAAAAATTAATGAGATCAAATTGTTCTGAAGATTTCGAAAGAAAGATTTTTTTTTAAGGGGAAAATTATTTTGTATCGGATTCCCAACAGTTTCTTAAAATCTTTGTTTGATTGAATCCTAAATTTAGTCCCGACCAGGAAACAGAAGTGTACACAAGAGTCCACACTCTCACTCTTGATTAGACAAAAACTTTAACGGTTTCTACTGTGAATCGTATCTGTTCCTTTAGTTATGATATTAAGTTTCTTCATTTTTATATGATCATTATTATCAATAATTAAACTAGAAAAAAAATTATACAGTGATAACCAGAAAACTGTAGAATAGGAAGAAGCCATTAAAGCAAAACTGAAGTGCATTTGATGTTGTTACAAAGCAATAGCTTTACTAGTAAGTTATTAAATCATTTACTAAGTGAAATGGGTCTGTTTAAACTGCACACTGTGGTGTCTTCTGTTCATTGGACAATTTAAAGTCATAACTTAAGAGTTTAAATGTCGACTTCCTATTCTATAGTTTTCTGGTTATCACTGTACTAAAACATTTTCCTGTTTGTTCTGCAGCTATAGCTATCAATGGATCATGTCTGACAGCAAAACCTGAAGACTTTGACAAGTAAGGAACTTTTTAAAACCCTGAAATAACATCATTAAAAATGTAGACAATCTAGAAATATGCAACACTCTAGACGTACCCGTTAAACTCACATAGCTCAGTCCGCATAAATTTTTGCATAAAACTTGTGCGTTTGGGGTCAACCACATACTGGGTACACTAGACTGGCTGGTAGGGTAAATACTAGACTGGCATCCTTGTACTGGTTTTGTACATGAAACTTTTGAACTAATGGAAAATTTGTGATTTGAATTTGAACAATCTTAAGTTTAGTTGATGTCAAAATGTAAAAAGTTTCACCAGCAGTTTGGAAATCAATGGATCCATTTACTCTTAATTGCTGTGTTACATGTTCAAGTTCACTTGAATATTCTAATTATTTACAACTAATTCACAGGGAAGTAAAGGGAATTTTACTCTACCTGGGGTTCCCAAGATCAATTTTGACTCATCCAGAATGCAGCAAGGGATGTTTTGTATCAAACATTGGTCGAGGAAACCCGTGGTCAAGTAAAATTTTTAACTTTCCGAATAAGTAGTTGTTAACAATTTTATCGTTTTTCGAGTTTTATCTCGAAACCTTCGCAGAATGGGTGGTTATTTTACATAACTGTCCCAAGGGATGATAAGTAACGTAATCTTCCTCTGTTTGGGGAATCATCGGGCCAATTGTAGAAAAATGGTTTCTTCCTCCCCCCCCCCCCCACACACCCCAATTGTAATATTTTTTATGTTTGATTATGAGGATATAGTTTTTTAAGGGAATTATATTTTTACTGGGTTTCATAGCCGCTTTGCGCTCATATTCGTTTTTAACTTTTGATTGTTGCTTTACCTGCACCATTTTCTCTTTTTGAATTATCAAAATATAAGAAAATAAATTTGCTGATTTACGGATTTTTTCGTGGATTTTCAAAAGTCAGAATTTTTTAGGTAAGTTTTTTAATTCTAACCATTCATAAACTTGATCATGTAAGGTCCCATAACGAATTTGGGCAGGGTTGGTTTAGCTGTGTGGACGTTTATTGGCCACATACAAACTCAGACAGACAAGCAAAGTATTCAAATTTATTAAAAACCTTTTTAATTCTGTTGATAAAGAATTGATTTAAAATAGAAAAAAAAATTTCCCACTTTTGAAAATATTGGATAATACATAAATAATAATCTTTGGATTTAGTTTAAATAATATCAAGTGGTTTCAAAGAATTCCAAGATTTACAAGAAATGTGTAAGAAAGATGTAAGGAAGGATTCTAAGAAAAGACTAGGTTTAGAGGATTGAACACTACAGATGAGATGGAATTGTAGGAATTTGAAGTTGAGAAATTGTAGCAGCAAGATGGTTGGGGAGGAAGTAAATCAGAAATTGAAATAAATGTATTTTACCAGCGCAAGTTTGGAGAATCAGAGTCAAGGAAAATATAAATTCTCCAGATGATTTTATTAATGTTGAATCAAAAACTTTAAAACATTTGATGTTTGAAATAAATATTCCCTTTTTCAAATTTGTCAATATATAGTTTGGAAAATGCCAACTAACCAACTGTGAAACATTTCCGAAATTTTAGTTTAATGTTACTTTTACTTAAAGTCATACTTTTAAAAATCAGAAAACTTTTCAAGACGTAATAAAGGCAATATCTTCTTCATTTTGATGCCTAAGTTTTGAAAGTATGATTATCTTCAACTTACATCTATGTAGTCGATATAATTGCGCAGAAAATATAAATGGTCCTATTGACAATTATCTATTTTTACAGTTAAGTTCAAATATAAAGCTGTTCCCGCATATTCATGGCTATTTATTTTATTTTGCAATTACTGAGATTTACATATATTAGTATTAAACTCATTAAAAAAAATTGCCAAGACGACGTTTCATAAATTCTTTCAATTTCTCAAAATCTCTGTGGTAAACTTCTATAATGAATGAGCCTCAAAATGTTTTATAAACCAGAATCAAGCAGATAATACGCCTTTTCTTGCACGCAAAGGATTAAACTAAGCACATTATCCTGAAACTTTAAAGTTTTTTTTATTAAGTTTAAATGCTGTGTAGGTTAGCGCCACTTTACATAAACCATATATTAATTAAATTAACTGATAGAATGTAATACATATTGGGTAAACATGATATTCTGTAAACCTGAAGCATGTTGTACATTATGAACTATCAAGGTCTGTAAACTTTCACGTAAAACCCATTATTCATCGGAACTGAGTTTCAAATGAATACGTACCATGATTAGCCTAAATCATGATTTACTAAAATTAGGACATTAGATGTCCTCTTTTTAAGATTTCTAAGTATTTTGTTCACACAAACCTTGAGGCTACGCTTAACTCCTATGGGCTTCTGCCGCAGGGTTGTGAACAAAAACCCCTTAAACCTTGAAAAGACGACATCTACTGTTATTTTAAGTAATCTATGATTTAGTTTTGGGTGTTTGACATATTGTCTTGTCTAAAATGTATACTGGTAATGAGAAACAAGGAACTGCACTGTACTGTACTGTACTTGTCTTGTCTATAATGTATACTGGTAATGTGAAACAAGGTACTGCACTGTACTGTACTGTACTTGTCTTGTCTAGAATGTAAACTGGTAATGTGAAACAAGGTACTGCACTGTACTGTACTGTACTGTACTTGTCTAGAATGTATACTGGTAATGTGAAACAAGGTACTGTAATGTACTGTACTGTACTTGTCTAGAATGTATACTGGTAATGTGAAACAAGGTACTGTACTGTACTGTACTGTACTGTACTGTACTTGTCTAGAATGTATACTGGTAATGTGAAACAAGTTCTGAATGTTAGTCAAATATTTGCTCTGAAGATGATTCAAGATAAGATAAGAGGAGCCATTGTTAATATCTCATCACAGGTAGGAACTTTTTTACCCCCCCCCCCCCCACTACAGGGTTATCAGCAACGGAGGATACTTCAGAAACGACTTATGGGGACGTTTTTGACCATTCTTTCTTACATTCATTTTACTTTAAAGCTGTAAAATTGCTTTTCCTCAGCAAACCATTTAATATTCAATTAAAAAACTAAATTTTAGACAGAAATCTGAATGTGACCTTTTTATTATTAAATATATTCGTCATAAAATTCTCATCCTTTGCTGGTTATTTCTCTTGTAGGAACATATATAAGCTCCCTCCCCTATATAAAAAACATTATTTGTATTAATGTCTTATTTGTATTATTGTATTATTTGTATTATTGTATTATTGTATTATTTTTATTAATGTCTTATTTGTATTATTGTATGGTTTGTATTAATGTATTATTGTATTATTTTTATTAATGTCTTATTTGTATTATTGTATTATTGTATTATTTGTATTATTGTTTAGTTGATGGCCCAAAGTTTGTCCTAGACCCAGCGCTCGGCCCTCTCAAAACCTGTGGTTTACTTACTAAATAATATAAAAAAGTGTTTTACTTTTGTAGTTCTAAATAAGGACAATAAATGCATGCTTCAAGAAAGGCCAAGCGCTGCGGCTAGAAAATTAGAAAAGATCAAATAGATTCTAGTACAATAGATGGCAACGTAGAATTTGTACACTCTCAGTACAGCTGTATTCTCACGTCATAAGTGTCAATTCAGTTTTTGTGTCCGACAAAATTATCAATAATTGTGATAATTTTAGAATAAAATGCTTTTCTTACAGTGAAATAAATGCATTTTTATGTGTTCTTTATTTTCTGTTTTTACATTTTTTTATTTAATCTTGGAAAAAATATCAACTAATGTGAGCAAATTTAGTCTTTCTTTTTATATTTGACACTTGTGACGTCGTGTATAGTCCATTTCTCTGTTGCCACCTATTGTACTAGAAAATCTATTTGGAGAAGATGGTTTCATAAATCATGATAAATAGGTATTTATGTTTAGGCAAGCCAGGCGGCGCTTAAAGATCATGTTCTTTACTGCGGTACAAAGGGAGCTCTAGATATTATGTCAAAGTAATACATTTTATGTGCTAGAAAGTTCTCGAAGGTTCTCGCCTTTTTAGATTATATTTTGTCCCGAGCTTTAAGAAAACTTGAACCTTCTCGATAAAAAGAAAATTTCTGTCCAAAAACACTTGCGAATCAAAATAACAGTGTTACAAATAGTTAATTCGATTGTAAATAGTTCACACATACAAGTCTAAATTAGAGAAATTCTGATGTTTTTCATTATTAATGATTTTATTTATTATGTATAAATAATTTTTTGTTTTTAAGTTGTGTACAGTGTGGGCCATAAAACTGAGCGGTTAGGAAGACGAAATGTAAGCAATGTTATGTGAATTTGATGTTGTTTTTAATCTAACAGTTTTACCAGTAGTTTGAAAATCAACTTAATAAGTGAAATGGGTCTGTGTACACTGCACAATTGTTTTTTCATGTTCATTGAATCATTTAATAGCATGTCGTCTTCCTATTTAACAGTTTTATTAGTGCCATTGTACAATTTACATGTTTATGTCAACAAAAAACCAATAGATAGGAGCAATTTTAAGTGTAAGTCGTCTTCCTATTTAACAGTTTTATCAGAAAGCAATTGATAGGAGCAATTTTAAGTGTAAGTCGTCTTCCTATTTAACAGTTTTATGAGTGCCATTGCACAATTTACAGGTTTTATGTAAACAGAAAGCAATAGATAGGAGCAATTTTAAGTGTAAGTCGTCTTCCTATTTAACAGTTTTATGAGTGCCATTGCACAATTTACAGGTTTTTGTAAACAGAAAGCAATAGATAGGAGCCATTTTAAGTGTAAGTCGTCTTCCTATTTAACAGTTTTATGAGTGCCATTCCACAATTTACAGGTTTATGTAAACAGAAAGCAATAGATAGGAGCAATTTTAATTGTAAGTCGTCTTCCTATTTAACAGTTTTATGAGTGTCATTGCACAATTTACAGGTTTATGTAAACAGAGAGCAATAGATAGGAGCAATTTTAATTGTAAGTCGTCTTCCTATTTAACAGTTTTATGAGTGCCATTGCACAATTTACATTTTTTATGTTAACAGTAAGCAATAGATAGGAGCAATTTTAAGGGTAAAAAAACTTGCGTTTCTTTTTTTAATTAAAGATCCTTACAAGAAAGTTATAAAAGTGCAGAATTACATCGAATGATACTAACCAATCTCAAAAAAATCCTGGTACAAAATTATTAAAAAAAGTTGGGTCTTTTAAATTATTTAAAAAAATGTTTGATATTAATGGGAGAGTGAAGACTCCAAGTATGAGAGTGGTTTCTTCGATTCTCAAAAAAGTATCTTAAACCATTGTCTGATAAAGGTTGAGTGAGATAAAAAAATTTCATTTTTTCCTGTTAATTAGGGACTGCCGCATTTATGCTTCTGAGACAACTAAAGAGTTAACAAAATACAACACTTTATAAGAATACCGTTGTGAATCGGATATACTTGATTTCACGTATACAGCCCCTTTAAATATATTGTTAAATTATCATCAATATCAATTCAGGGTGATGGGTTTGGAGCTGGGTGAGCATGGTATCCGGGTGAACTGTGTGAACCCTACAGTAGTGCTGACCAGCATGGGTAAACTAGCCTGGTCTGATCCTGCCAAGGCTGGACCAATGCTGGACAAAATCCCTTTGGGCAGGTTAGTTTGTGTATTTAAAATTCGGTAATGATAATGGACCAAACCTCATGGAGTAATTCAAGTTAAGTTAGTTCCACATTTTATTGAAAATATATTTCAGTCTGGGTTGACCCTCGTCAGTACTTGAGATTGTTTCTGTCATGAAGATTCAAAACAAACTGTAATAAAGTGTATTTTAATCTCCCTACTTCTTTCCTCCAATTAATGTCCGGCTAGAAGAAATGGATGCTCGGGTGGGGGTGGGTGTGGAAATATTTGACATCGAAAGGCAACATTTTAAACCCTTTTTGATACTTTTTACTCTAAATTTCATTTTTTTCTAATTTAGCAAATATTGTCCTAAAAATACCTGACTTCTTGGAAAAAAATATATTTAAAAGAGTGGAGGGGGAGGGACGTTTTTTATAAGAAAATGTATTATAACAATGCACTGGCACAAACTCGGCTTTTCTACTCCTTATATTTTTGCAACCAAATCCAGATCTTAGATATTTCAAACTATTAACTTTTTTAGATCAAATAATCTAAGTTTGAAATTTCAATTCCAGCAGTTGTTACAAAGATAATGTTGTGGTTAGAAAACTTAAGTTTAAGGCCCAATTCCTTTAAAAGTATTGATGAAAAAAAGTTGTGAATAATTTTTTGATCGAATTTTTTTCTGTTCGAGAACCCCTGAAACAAAATTACCGTATAGATTTCTAATCAATCGATTTTCAGATTTGCTGAAATAGACGATGTTGTGAGTGGAGTCCTTTTCCTGTTGAGTGATCAAGCAGCTTTGATCAATGCAGTTACTCTTCCAATCGATGGAGGATTTCTGGCGACATAGATATTTAGAAGATGGATGTTTACAAATTGGAGGATTTAATTTGGGAATTTAAGGGGTTCAATTTATTTATTCCCCACCAAACCCCCACCACCACAAATTTGATCCCTCCGAAAAAGTCTTCTTATAAAGGAGGGGGGGGGGAGAACACCAAAATTAAAATGTTTTATTAACTATGCTATTTTTTAAAATACTGGTTATGGCATTTAAAATAGTTCTTACAGTGGTTTAATAATACATGACATTTGTTATATATTTTACACTGTACAAAAAACAATATGTATCGTTCAACGCCTGAGATTCTCATGTTTTATCCTATACCCCTTTAAGTTTTCCTTTACAGTCCCTTTAAACATATGTAAACAAGAAAACTGTGGAATTTGTTACGTTTTTGTAAATTATGAAATATCGTTAAGGGTTTTGTAAATTGCAACTGAACTTCTTCTAAAAAGAAACATTTTAGAAGCGTATCAGTTGCAATTGCAAATTAAGGCATTATTAGAATTCGTTTTTAATTTAACAGCAACAAAAAAAAAACACTAGTTTTCTGGTTAACACGGTAATGTTTTTTTTCTAATAATAATGGGTTTACACTATAAAGTTATAATCAGAAAGACCCGGAATTAATTATTTGACAGTTAATCAGACGACTTCACATATATAAATGCTAAAAAAAGGCAGACCACAATTTGGAAATGGCAGGACTATGGCTATTTTGCGATAATCGTTTTAACATATTTGTAAAATTTTATTGTTAATTAATTCCGGGGTCTTTTTGATTAGGAATCTGTAGAAGGTAAAAAAATTTATTTTATAACTGAAAATTTTGTGCTTGCTTATTTTATCTGCAGAAGTGCTTGTTGATAACTTTATACGCAATTCACAAATTTATTTTATAAAAGTTTAAAATTTAAATATTGTTTATTTTTTTATTTCGTTATGAATTTAAAGTTATTATTATTATTGTTTAAAATCTTTGGTTTAATGTTTGGGATTAAAAATAAATTCAGTAAATTCAGAAAGTATTTATTTTTTTGATTCTTTTTACCTAAATGTTTAATAATTTTCTCTTAAAACTCATTCACTTTCCCAAATTCAGCGAATAAAACCTGTGCAAAAATTGCGTTCGGTGCAAAGATACTTAATAAAAAAATATACACATAAATAAGAAAATAAAAATGTACTGTGTATTGTCTAAAAGCAGCAAATATCATAAATTGAAAAAAAAAACATTTTAAATTCTTGAAACAAATTTCTTACATGAATTAAATTTGCATTTGCAAACACTTGCAATCTGTTGTGCTGTGCGAATTCTTCTGCAAAATTTAACTGAATATACATTAAGCAACGATTAAACTGACATAATTATTTTACTTCTAGACATGTAGTGTGGATACAATCCATACATTTACTGTTTACTTTTAGACATTTAGTGTGGATACAATCCATACATTTACTGTTTACTTCTAGACATTTAGTGTGGATACATATTTGGAAATTTAGAATATTCTTCAAGAATTTTAAATTACTAGGCTTTTAGGGCGCTTCGCGCCCATCTTCTATTTCAACTTTTAATTGTGGCTTTATCTCTGAACATCTTCTCTTTGTACAGTATAAATCAAAAACATTAAAACTTTGCGGATTTTATAATATTTTTTTGCGCATTTTCAAAATTTTTCAAAAATAAAAAACTTTTAAATACAAATTTTTAAAATTTTGATCATTCATAAACCTTACCTGAGGCCACATGAGGTCCCAAAAAAATTTGGGCCCGATCGGTTCAGCTGTTTTGACGTTTATTGGATACAAACAAACAGATAAACAGACAGACAAGCCAAATTTATATATAGATTACCTCCTTTTGATCAACATGACCGACCTATGATTCCCTCAACAGCCGCTCTGGGAAGATATGGACAAAATTCGCGCATTTTCATCTCAAAAGACGATCAATTTGCGTACAACCACATTTTCGGGAAATGAAAAATGTTACTTGACCACGGAATTAAAAACTGATCTAACAGCCGCGATTTTTCTAAAGTTTTCAAGAATTTTTCTCTCTTAATTAAGTCATTTTGGAAAATTCAACATTTATTCCAGGCGATTTTTAAAGAAATTTTAAGAATCTTAAACCTTTCCCAGGGGGTCATGTGAGTTTTCCTAGAAAATTTAACACGATTGATCGTTTATCGGACTTAAACAAACAGGCAGACAGACTAGCAAAGAATATATATATATATATATATATAACAAGAAAAATTTAAAAAAGGAAGACGACTTTTAGAATAAAGTTGAAACTTTAAATAGTCCAATTGTGCAGTGTAAACAGACGCATTTCACCAAATTAGTGACCTAATAAGTGTCTAGTTAAACTTCGTGGAACATCATCAAATAAACTTATTTGTTGATGTAATGTCGTCTCTCTTATCCCTTGTTTTCTAGTTAACACTAAATATATTATATTGATGGACAGTTATATTATTTCTAATTTTTATTCAGCTAGAGGTTTAAAGTGCGCTGTTGGGAATCCGACATGTCACTTTTAAATGAACGGTCACTTGAAATAATGTAAACAGTCTCCTTAAGTTATTTCTTATATGTCATGTTTAGTGGAACACCCTGTATTACCTTCTTGTGTTTTCTACTTTTCCTAATCCTTGACACTAAGAATAAATTGAAACATGAAAGAATGGTGAATCTTTCGATCTACTCGCATCCGCTATACTGCACTTCTGACCTACACCCACGTGGTTTTACAGCTGCTAGTTAGCCTGTTCCCTCCGCTGCGCTCAGCCTAGAATTTGTCAAAGAATACAAAATAAACAGCTGTCGGATAATGCATGCCTAGGTCAGAAGTTTAGTAGAGTGAATGTTACGTATAGACGATTTAACATTACTCCTGAAAGGTATCTCTTTGGTAAAACTTTGAAGAAGAAAGTTTATCTAATGGAAGAATTAGAGAAACCACACTCACAACTAAATCATAAGTTTTGAGTTTTAAATCTTGATTCGGCCATTTAAAAAAAAATATTTGTGATATAATTTTTATATAATTATTTATTAAAATTATCCCTCCAATATGATGGTTATTAAGATTGAATTTGCACTTTTGCTGAACAAATATCCACCGTTTAAACGTCTCATAGGTCTCAAATAAATCCTAAAAAAATTCTCTACAATACTCAACTCGCAGCTCACAGCTCTACTACCATATCTAGCCAGACAGTCTCTTTAAGACGTAATTATTATGTAATGTGTTGTTAAAGGGACCGTTCACTTATTTGGGTAATTTCAGAGTAAACTAAATAGTCTATTCGCTGTTGATTGGTAATAGTTTTACTTTTCAAAGACAATTGTGGCCGGAGAAAAAGCCGATTTTACAGTCAGAATCTGAGCGCAAAAGGACGTTCCCTCTCTATAGACACTATTTGATGTATTACCAATCAACAGCGAATAGGCTTTATTTTGTATCAGTATTGTGAAGCTAGAGTGAGGACCATCAGTGTAAGGTCAGAACTAAATGGAAAAGGGACATTTCTAATATGAAATACACACACATAGAACACATCAGTTCTTGGAGTGGACCAACCTGTCTTAATCACTAGTTTTCTTCTCCGGAATCCAGATACTAGGGATGAATTGTACAGGGTGTTCCAAGAAACATGGGAATTGATTGACGAATTCGCAATCGTTTTTGTTATTTATGTATATTTAGTATATTTTATGAAAACGGTAAAATGCATAATCTCTCCAAGAACAGTAAAGATGAACCAGTTCATCTTGTTTTTATACAGGAATTTTCTTCTATTACTGAGTACAACAAATTCTAAACTCTAGCAGACGAAATCCACTGATTACAGCTTTCACAATAAACTAAATCGTTGCTCATGTTCAATGTTTATCGGTAGACCCTGCATATGGTAAAGGAATGACCAATATTTCATTCACAGACTTTAAAATAAGCAAATGTCAAATTTAGAATTTTTTAAATCTTACAGTTCAATTGATCTTTCACGACACTCGAATATTACTTGTAGAGTTAGACATAAAAAATACCAAATATTTAATGTCCAAAGCGATTTTAAAAATTTAAATATTAATAAATATTTTCTGCGACTTCTTAAATTAATATTATTATTTCTTGAATATAAACTAAAGCTTCCAAGCCAAGTGTTACAAGCTTTCTGCAGATTTATTTTGATCCGTCAAAGGTATAAAAGCTACTGTTTTCAATCGGACACGCTCCTCTACAAATGGAGGGATACCTCAAATATCAAGCTTTCATTCCCTTCAACAGTTACCAGATATATTACAATTTTACTTTATTCAGTAGAATATCTGTATTGCTAAGCAATTTTTAAAATGATTTTTTGTCATGAATTTATGAAATAGTATTTACATGACTATAAAATATCACTTAATATTAGGACCTGCGAAAAGCATTTGACTATATGTAGACACAAATGTATATAAGTAGATTATGATGGAAATTAACCTGGAAATTTAAAGAACACAGCTTTGATTTTGAATTTTAATGAATGGCTATCATTTTTTTGTCAAAATTAACTCTTATTCTTTGTGGTTTACCCTTTATCTTGATGGTGATTTTAGTTATTTTAGACTCAAGATTTGATTTTAAATAGTTCAATGAACACAACAATGGTACAGTGTGCACAAATCATTTCACTTGATAAGTTAATTTTAGGCTACTGAACTGAAAGTAAAATCTTTTGTGTTGTAATATTATCAAATACGCCTAAATATTTCTTTAATGTCGTCTTTCTAGTCCACGGTTTATCTGGTTCCCTGTAGTGAATTGTTTTATTTAATCCTTTAAGAAAAAATCTTTAATTCGAAAAAGTTAGTATAAAAAATATGTAGAATATACATCATTTAATGAATGTATGAAATCGGTAATTTTTATATTTGTCAAATTTCTTTTTTTATTTGTCGGACAAATTACACAGATAAGACAAAAGTTCAAACACTTTTATACATGTTTTTTGATCCTGATACATGCTCATTTAAACTTTTTTTTGGTGCATTGAGCAATATATGTGTACTGTAAAAGATTTAAACAAATGAGTATACGGGACATTAGTTCCAAAACTAACACTTGGCCCATTTCTAATACTAAGTGTTAGAAATGG